TTACCCCTCTCCCTGTGGGTGGGGGGTATTTACCCCGCTCTTACCCCTCTCCTTGTGATAGTCCATGGCGGACCCAGGATCTGAAACTGGCGCGAATCTGGGGACCACGTGATACGGTACGGATTCAACCACAGCCCCCCTGAAATGGGGGGGGGGCAGTGCCACACAACCTCTGGGGCCGGGATGAAGATTAAGGGAGAGTCGGGGAGAGCGTCCGTTAAAAGTTGCTTTCAGTCTAAACTCAGACCCAGAGCGAACCCCCGGTCTGGAGCCTCTTGGCACAGGAAGACAATTAACATTTAATTCATACAACTCCCCCTAACTACAAATGGCAGAGTCCGGAAGGCGCCAAATCAGCGCGAAGACCCGCCCCCAACGCCACAGCCGCGTAAAAGCTCCGCCCACTTCCAACAACTTCTATATAATCCGCATGGTTTATAATGCACACCCTACATACCGACAAAATATCTTCCGCATCTTGTATAATCCTCACACTATATAACCCACACACTGAATAATCTGCGCCCAATATATCCCACAGCCTATGTACCGTATACTATATAATACGCACTCTATATACAACACACCCTGAATAATTCGGACCTCATTTACAACACACCCTAGTTATCCCACATCCTGTATAATCCACACTCTAAATACACCACACCCTGTGTGATCCATACTTTATATACCCTACACAGTATAAACCACACCCTATATACCCCAAACCCTGTAAAATCTGCCTTCTGAAAATCCTATACCCTATATCCTGTACAATCCATATTCCAACATACTCCACACCCATATGATCTGCACCCATCTATACCACAGTCTAAAATCTGCATCCTATATACCCTGCACACCGTGTATTCCACACAGTGTGGTCTGCATCCTACATACCCTGTATAATCCACACTTATATACACCACTCCACAACCCAATAATATCCCACATTCTGTATAATTCACACTCTATATCAAATAGATTTCTACAGTGTGGAAGCATGCCTTTCAGCCCAACAAGTCCACACTAACCCTCCGAAGATCATCCCACCCAGACTCATCCCCTACCCCATCCCTACATTTCCCACCCTAGACCTATGGGCAATTTAGCATGGCCAATCCACCTAACCTGCACATGTTTGGACTATGGGAGGAAACTGGACCACCCGGAGGGAGCCCACGCAGACACAGGAAGAACATGCAAACTCCATAGATAGTCGCCTGAGGGTGGAATCGAACCCAGGTCCCTGACACTGTAAGACAACAATGCTGACCACTGACCCACCATGCTGCCTGGTATCCCACATGCTATAAAATCTACACCCAATATTTCCCACCCCCTGCATACACCACACCCTTTATATATTCTGCACCCACATACAGCTCATCCTGTATGTGCCTCATTGTGTACACATTACTATCTGTTTATTCCGCACCAACACCATATGCTATATAATGCACCCTTTTCATCCTACACCTGGTATCATTTACCACACCTTCTAAAATCAGCACCCTACATATCCTAAACTCTATAATACAGAACTCCATATACTGTATGCCCTGTACGATCCACACCCTATATACCCTGTGCGTAATGCACATCTTATATACCCTACACCATGTATAATCCACATCCTACATACTGCATACCCTGTATTATCTGCATTTATTAACACCACAGCCCGAAAAATCTGTACCCTTTCTATCCTGCACCCTGTATACCATACACTCTGTATAATCCTCACTATATATATATACCACACTCTATGTAATCAACTCCTATACATACACTGCATAAAATCTACCCCCAATGTTTCCCAATTCTGTACATTCTGCAACCTATATGCCCCTCATCCTTTATATCTCAACCTGTGTATCCTGCACTGTATACACCACTGTCTGTATAACCCACACCTTATTTAGATCATACCTGTTATATTCCACATCCTGTGTATCCTGCACCCTATATAACCTACACCTGTTATGTTGCACATCCTGTATATCACACGATCCACACCCCATATAATCGCACAACCTATATATCCTACCTATATCCATCACCCTGTACAATCTACACCTTTTACACCCTACACTCTATATAATCCAAACCTTATATACCCCACAGACTGTATAAAGCACACTCTATATATCACACTTCCTTTATAATCTGCATATATATCTCACATCTTTATATACCTCACACCTCACAAATCTGCACCCAAAATAGTCCACATTGTGTAAAATCCACACCCTATATAGCCTAAACCTTGTATACTCAGCACCTTATACACTGTATATCTCACAGCTTACATATCCCACAACCTATATACCCTACACCCTGTATCAAAGGCATCTTGTGCATACCACTCCTTATATATCGTACTCCCTGTGTAATCTGCACCCTACATATCCCACTTCCGGTAAAATTGGCACATAATACATCCCCCAACCCCGTATATACCCACACTTTATATGCCACCCTCTGAGCCCCAAACCCTATGTACTCTAAACGCCTACATACTTGGCCCCCTATAGTAACCCTCACCCTCTATTTCCCACACCCCTACAAAAGAAGCACTCTAACAATGTTCCTCTCTCTGATTGGTTCTCCCTCCCGGTTGCTGTGGTGACCAGACGCTGATTGGCGGTAGTTTGCACCAATCGGAAAACGGAGACGAGTTAGGCCCGAAGCCTGGGAGTTGGAGTGAATGAGGAGCCGGCACTGATCTCCCCATTTCCCCAGGGTCTCCCAACCCCTCCTCCCGAGCAATGATCTCTCAGCTCTTCATCCTGTCGGCCCGAGGAGACCACCTCATCTACAAGGACCGTATCCTGAGAGTAAACCCACAGGGAAGGGGGGAAGAGAGACAGGGGGAGTGTGTGTCAATGTCACAGTTCATGGACAAGTCTTTCCCTCTTTGGAATATCTGAGGCTTTGGTTCTGTATGAAGGGGGACGGGGTCATGGGGTGGTCTCTCTCCTGGGGGACGGGGTCATCAGGAGGTCTCTGTATGGGGGAGGAGGTCATGGGGTGGTCTCTGTCCTGGGGGAACGGGGTCATCGGGAGGTCTCTGTTTGGGGGACGGGGTCATGGGGTGGTCTCTGTCCTGGGGGAGAGGTCATGGGGTGGTCTCTCCCTCGGGGATGGGGTCATTGGGAGGTCTCTGTCTGGGGGAGGAGGTCATGGGGTGGTCTCTGTCCTGGGGGAGGAAGTCCTAGGATGGCCTCTGTCCTGGGAGACGGGGTCATCAGGAGGTTTCTGTCTGGGGGAGGAGGTCATGGAGTGGCCTCTGTCCTTGGGGAGGAGGTCATGGGGTGGTCTCTGTCCTTGGGGATGGGGTCATTGGGAGGTCTCTGTCTGGAAAATGGGGTCATTGGGAGGTCTCTGTCTGGGGGATGGGGTCATCGGGAGTTCTCTGTCCTGTGGTAGGGGTCATGAGGATGTTTTTGCCCCTGGGTTGCGGAGGGGTCTCTGTATGAAGGGTCTGGGGGAGACCTTTTCACTCAGGGTCTTTGTACTAGGAGCATCTCTATACTGGGAGAGTTTGGGGGGGGTTCCCTCTATGGCTGGGACAGTGGGGATCTCTGTCCTGGAAATGGCCCCTCAGTACTTTGGGAGTGGTGTGGTGAGGTGAAGTGTTTACCCCTCTCACCCATTCTCTGTCTCTCTGGCTGTTTTCCTGACTCTGCTACGTTCAGTTCGAGGGGAGGAGTCAAAGGATGTGGTCGATTTATTCTACCAGAAGGTGAGGTCTTTGCCCCGAGACCAGGCACCTGTTGTCATGGTGAGTGGATTAGACTGATTATCATCGTATTTGCAAACTATCTCAGCCTGCCACTTCCTTCCACCTCCACCCTCCCCTTCCCCCCCCACCTCTTCTCTTACCCCCCTCCACCTCTTCTGTTACCCCCCTCCACCTCCTTCCATCTCCCCCTCCTGCACCCCACCCCCCACCTTTACTGTACCCTAAACAGTAGGTTTCAGGGCACACCCTTCCACTACAGGCGATGCAAGCAGAACCTGGGGATATTTTCAGACGATTTTGGGCTGATACTTGACAAGCTGGTGTGGAGTGGGGAAGGAGGGAGGGAGACTGTGAATGTGAGACAGTCAGATTGGCCACAATCTTATCGAATGGCGAAACTGGCTAAAGGGGCCAATTGGCCTTACACAGTTAATGATCAGGCCCCAGAAGTGTTGTCAAGCAAGGGGTGTAGGTACATAGTTCCTTGAAAGTGGAGTTGCAGATAGACAGGGTGGTGAAGAAGGCATTTTAGCACACTTGCCTTCATTGGTCAGTGCATTGAGTCTTGGAGTTGGGACGTCATGTTACGGCTGTATGAGATATTGCTAAGGTCACTTTTGGAGTAGTACATAAAGTTCTGGTTAAAAACCGAAAGAACTGCGGATGTTGTAAATCAGGAACAAAAACAAAGTTGCTAGAAAAGCTCAGTCCTCAGTTCTGAGGAAGGGTCACCGGATCCGAAACGTTAACTCTTTTTTTCTTCACAGATGCTGCCAGACCTGCTGAGCCTTTCCAGCAACTTTGTTTTTGTATAAAATTCTGGTTGCCCTGCCTTTGGAAGTATGTTATTAAACTGGAAAAGGTGAAAAATAGATTTACAAAGATGTTACCAAGACTGAAAGGTTTGAGTTCTGAGGAGAGGCTGGATAGGCTGGGACTCTTTTCCCTGGGGCATAGAAGCCTGAGGGGTGACTTTATAGAGGTTTATAAAATCATGGATAGGGTGAATGGACAAGATCAGGGTAGGGGAGTCCAAAACTAGAGGGCATAGGTTTAAGGTGAGAGGGGTAAGATTTAAAAGGGACATAAGGGGCAACTTTTTCATGCAGAGGGTGGTGTGTACTGTATACAGAATGAGCTGCCAGAGGAAGTGTTGGAGGCTGGTACAATTACAATGCATAAAAGGCATTAACACAAGTACACAAACAGGAAAAGTTTACACGGATACTGGGCAAACGCAGGCTACTGGGATTCATTCAGCTTAGGAAACCTGGTCAGCATGGATGAGTTGGACCAAAGGGCCTTTTCCATGCTATATTGGTCTATGGCCTACTGCTGCTGCTTGGTTGTATATTCCCAACCCTCTTATTTCCACATCTTGCTCTGCATGTCCCCCTCCCACATGCCTCTTTTCCTCTCACTCTTACCCCCAGAGCACTGCAGCCTTCTCCACCCCACAAAC